GTGCAAAGTGTTTCCCCGAAAAGAAGGGGGAGCACAGACGAGGAACCGATGACGAAGACTCATCGGGGGAGTCCTGGATTACTTCGAGTGCAGATCCAGAGACGGAGTGAGTAAAAGTGCGAGCGTCTGAGCAGTTATGGGAGGGGGAAGAAAGGGGGGGCTCTATGGTCGTGCCCTTCTTGGTCTTATTTGTTTGGTTTTGGGTTGAATTTTTCTGGGGTTGTTTCTCCCCCTCTTGGATCTGTTGATTGTGAATGTAGGTAGCAGTCCGCCTTTGTAACCCCATCAGCATGTCGGTTCAGCATGTTGGAATACAAACGCGGCTATAGGTTCAAGATGCTGTCCCCAGAGATGGAGGGCAACAAAGCGAAGTTGGAGCCCGGGGGCGCCGAAGTGAAGGTGGAGCCCGTGGATGAGGAGACCGCATCAGGAGCCCTAGAGGATTCCCTTAAAAAGTTACTTCAGGAGAAGGGAGTGAGCTCCGAAACCATAAGAAACTTGGGCCTAGCGAGGTGCAAGACCATAGGGGTCTTCAGCTCGGTTGTGGACAGCCGGTCACAGCTGAGGGAGTTCGCGGCAAAGTCTTTAAATTTGAAAACGCCAGCAGAGGCGATGGAGGTGGCGGCCCTTATCGGCGCTTGGGAAACAGCCAGGATAATTGCCGAGCAGAAAAGGCAGCGAGAAGCCCAAGAACTCTTGGCAGGAGGATCGGAAGCCGATACCAAAATTGGAGGAAAGTGGCAGGAATGCCGAGAGCAGTTTGAGAGGGCGTGTCACAAGCTGGAGGCTGCACAATCTCCAGCCGAAGAGACATGGATCATTTGCAGAGGCAAGTCGAAGCAGCAAAGTTCACCGCAAAACCCCTGAGGCATTTCCTCTCCGAAGCTGATCCAGGGCCGCAGCCAATCCAAACCGCAATCGGGGCCGTCAGGGTTCGTAGAGGCGTGAGACAAGCCGAGGAAGTCATAGCGAGACTGAGGATTATGGCATGCGCCTTAGTGATGGTAGGGATGCAAGCCAAGCAGCACGGGGTATTGCAAAGACTGGTGCTGGACGACTTCGCTTTTATTGGGAGGCGTTGAGAAAGAAGGCCGAGGACTCAAGTAACGGGGGGCCGGGGGCGGTCAAAAGCATGATACAGCATGACCAGGATATGAGGTATATCCTGGTGACTAGGTTGAACAAAGGAATGAAGTTCGGAGAGGCCTTGGAGCAGGCTGTGAAAGACATAAACAGCGAACGGGACAAGAAAGATGTACCGCCTCCCAGGAGCCTGGCAGAAAGGCATGACAGGAGGTCCCGCTCCAGAAAGCGACAGGGGGCCCAAGATCAAGTGCGGCATCAAGCCTCCAGCTCCGGCAAAGGAAAAAGTTGGGATACAGCAGGGCTGCACACCACAACTGAGAAAGGTCAAGAAATATGCTTGAACTGGAATAGCATGAAGGCCAGGTATCGCTTCCATTGCGGCAGGGCGCGCGTGTGCCAAAGGTGCCTAGGGCAGCACCTGCTACACATGTGCGGCACTGGGAAGCACCAAGAAGCGGTCGGCACTGGTGGGGGTACAGCCCACCAGTGGGAAATATATAAAAGAGGGAAAATATGCAGGGGTTCAGGGTTTGCCCCGACCCTGGGCTCCCCGCATCGGGGCGGGCTTGCCCTTGGACAGCCAGCCAACCCCTTTTTCCTGACAGATGGGGAAGGAGAGGGTCGGCGGTCTGTCAAGGAGATTTGCTATAGAATTCTCGCCGAGCGGTGTCTCTGTGAGAAAGGATGGATGATGGAAAGAGAAGAAGGTTCGCAGAGGGTAGATCTCTGTGAATCCAAAGTGAGGGAAAGAGAAGAAGCAGAGGGTAGATCTTTGTGAAGCCGAAGTGAAAAGACGCGGTGAGGAAAAGATTGGGTGTAGAATTCTCGCAGAGGGGCCTATCTGTGAGAAAAGACGGATGGAAAGAGAAGGAGGTTCGCAGAGGGTAGGTCAACGTGAAGCCAATGCGAAGAGAAAAGGAGAGGAGAGTTCGCAGAGGGTGGGTCTCTGTGAAGCCGAAGGTTCGCAGAGGGTAGTCTCTGTGAAGCCAAAGCAAAGAGAAAAGGAGAGGAGAGTTCGCAGAGGGTGGGCCTCTGTGAAGCCAAAGGTTCGCAGAGGGTAGTCTCTGTGAAGCCAAAGTAAAAAGACGCGGTGAGGAAAAGATTGGATATAGAAATCTCGCAGACGGACGTCTCTGTGAGAAAGGATGGATGGAAAGAGAAGGAGGTTTGCAGAGGGTAGGTCTCTGTGAAGCCAATGCGGAGAGAAAAGGAGAGGAGAGTTCGCAGAGGGGGTGTCTCTGTGAAGCAGTAAAAGAAAGAGAAGAGAAAGGGCTATGATGTCAGTGAAGCTGTGACAGGCAAGAGGGACCATGGCACATACGTAGCAGTGAGGGCAGGCTTCATTATAGAGTTCTCACAGGAGGGTGGTTCTGTGAGAAAGGAAGTCAGATGGACGTTATAAAAATCTCACAGGAGTGAGAAAGGAAGTCTGATGGAAGGAGAAGAAGGTTCGCAGGGGGTAGATCTCTGTGAAGCCAAAGTAATAAAGAGAAAAGGAGAGGAGAGTTCGTAGAGGCTGAGTCTCTGTGAAGCCATAAAAGAAAGGGAAGAGAAAGGGCTATGATGTTGAAAGAGCCCCCCGCGAAGCTGGGACAAGACGAGGGCTCAGGGCACATACGTCGCGGTGAAGATAGGGCTTGGGGCAGAAATCTCACAGAAAGGGGGGTTTCTGCGAGAAGGAAAAACTGACGGAAAGAGAGGAAGGTCACAGAGGGTGGTTCTCTGTGAAGACGAAGTGAAGAGGACAGGAAAGGAATGTTCGCAGAGGGGGTCTCTGTGAAGCCATAAAATGAGGGTAAGAGAAGGGGCTCTGATGGCGAGAAGGTTCCCGCGAAGCGATGTGAAGGAAGGAGGTTTTGCAGAGGGTGATTTCTGGGAAGTCAAAGTAGAGAAAAGAAGGGGGCTCGGTGGGCGAGTTCATGGAAGGGCCAGGGGAAGCAGAGGTCGCGTGAAAAAGAGATGGAATCTGTGAGGAGGACAAGGCTCGCAGAGGGAGGCTGTAGCCAGCGGATGCCACGGAGCGGTCTGGGGCAGCATTGCTGGGAAGGTTTACCCTGTGAGGGCGTGCTCACAGAGGGTCAAGCTTGGACCCCACAAAGTCACATGAGGGCTGAACTCTGTGAGGGAGACTTGCATCGGTGAGCCACAGCCGCAGTGCGAAGAAGGGGAGTGGCTGCAGAGCAGAGCGGATTGGGGGAAGTGTCCCTAAGGCGGGGAAGGTGGCTGGGACATCGTGCGGGTCGGGCTCGATGGGGTCTGCAGACCGAGAAGCGTCAAGAAGAAATTGGGCCGCGACGAAGCGGTCCAAGGCCGGGCGGATTGGAGAGTCTGCAAATTTAAGCGCGCCCCAGCCACAGTCTTGGAACGAAAGTTACCACACCGTTGCGCCCATAGGCCACTGGATATTGCGGCAAGTTAAAATAAAGACGTGGCAGGTTGGCCAGTGGCTCATAGAACTGGTCAGGCTTTGCGTCGGACCGGAAAGGCACGGACATTGGCTGATAGAGCAAGTTGGGCGAACATGACGATATGTTCGTCAAGCCATGGGGAAGGAGGCCATGTCGAGTGAGGAGCCTCATCACATCATGGTCAGCCAAGAGGCCTAGATAGGCCGGTCTCTTCCCGGCCTTCAGAAAGAAAGGGAGAGACTATCGGGTACGGTTCGACGGAAATAGCGCCAGCGGAAGGACTGAGAGAAGCTGCCGCTTGCACAGCCTTTGCAGATAAGAGCCGAAGGTAAAAGGCGGCGAGCGGGAATTCAAATTCTTACGCAAATCGAGTCCTTACAAAGGAAAGGAAAAGCCTGACGCCTCTAAAGTGGGGAAAATAGGCGTCAGGCATCTGAAGGATACGTCAAAGACGTCGGCCCTTCAGAAGAACATCTGGCCAGAGATGTGAGCTCTGGCCAGGTTCAAGGACGATTTGCGCAACCCTGTAAAATAAGAATGCGCAATGCTGGCAGAGTGAGCGCGGTGTCGTGAAATGTGCAAAGCACAGAAACGACATGGAGTGAATGTCGCCAGCAACATCTGTCTCCACCAAAACATGGTGGGGAAAATAGACGTCAGGCATCTGAAGGATACGTCAAAGACGTCGGGCCCTTCAGAAGAACATCTGGCCAGAGATGTGAGCTCTGGTCAGGCTCAAGGACGATTTGCGCAACCCTGTAAAATAAGAATGCGCAATGCTGGCAGAGTGAGCGCAGTGTCGTACGGTATGTCTGGCATGTATGGTATGGTAACGTAAGGTAATGTAAGGTGATGTAAGGCATGGTAATGTATGGTATGGTATAATATGTATGGTATTTATGATATGCGTGGTATGTATGGCATTTATGGTATGTATGTACTGCATGGTATGTATGTACTGCATGTACTGCATGTACTGCATGTACTGCATGTACTGCATGTACTGCATGTACTGTATGGTATGTATGTACTGTATGGTATGTATGTATGTGCTGTATGTACTGTAGGTGCTGTATGTACTGTATGTATTGTAATGCATGTAATGTATCTAATGAATCTACTGCATTGTAATGCATTGTAATGTATTGTAATGCCTTGTACGGGATTGTAATATTTTGTATTGTATTGTAATGTAATGTATTTTTGAATGTATGTGGTCTTACTTCAAATTCTGATCTCCGAGTTTGTTCGCGTACTCACCTCAAGTCTGTTCCCAGGTTTGATCTGGAAGAGGATGTAGCAGTTTCATGTGTATCCTCGAACGAACAGATTGCTCCTTGCTGGTATGAGTGTATTAATTGAGGCCGCATATCCTCTCAGCCCAAATTGTTTCATCCCTACTAAAATTCACGATTCAAAGCGACAAAATGCGACAGATACGACAGGTGCAGGTCTGAACTGGGATGTGGAGCAGCTGTGGAGCAGGTTGATTTGACATACGTTGAGGTCAAAACCATCCCAGCCGCTTGGCCCAGCGAGATGAACACCTGTGGAAGGATTGCGGTGGAAGCCTCAACAAGTGTCAGAGACTCCAAAGAGACTCCAGAGGGACTCCAAAGTTGCAAATGGAGTTGAGGAAACGTGTGGAAAATTGTTAAAAATGTGTATGGCGTTTACGACCTGTACCTTGAAAATCCCAATGGTTTCCTTTTCTTTGCGCGCTTGTGTTCGCCCGTGTTCAAGTTGCTTCAAATTGCATTAAGTTGCTTTGAACATTTTAGACTCAAGTCATGCACTCTCTTGGCAGGTTCACAGCTCCGGACACTTTGTTTTGGTCTCAAACAGAGGACGTGTGTAGTTGCACCAAAGAAGAACAATCTTGTGGTGTTGGAGTCCTTTTCACTTTTTGTTCACATTTTTTTGAAAGAATCATGTTGGTCCATGCTGAAATGACATATCCTCGCATTCAGGACACAACAGTATTACAGTCTTCCGAATCCATCAAGATGGGGACAATCAAGGCTTGCTGTCATTGGCGTCGGGAGCCAAAGCATAGGATGGCATCTGACAACAGCACACGGAGGTTTGGTTGGGTTGCTGTTGCACATACTCTAAGTCCAAAATTTCTGATTTTTTTTTTGAAATAAGTACTTGCGGACTGATACAAGATTTTACAATTCCAAGTTTTCCAGACGCTTTTGCTGGAGATCACTTGGGAGTGTCGAAGTGTTGGACCTCGAGATTCACACGTCACCGAGTTTGAGGCATATGCGACACACCCGTGGAGCAACTCCTAGACACTTTCAATTTGACAGCTCAGGCACGTTGAAGATGCAGTGTTAATCACTGTGACATACAAGCGGACATATGGCCATGCTCAGTGGACATACAATTGGCTCTATGAGTTCCGATTTCTTTTGGTCTATTTGTAGCCTGTTTGATTTGGGGCTGCCTTTTGCAATCTGGTTAAAAGATGCCTCACGTATTGATCGAAGCTGTTGTAATGGAGTCGGTATCCAGTAGTTTGCTCAGTACACGTGTTACAAGTCAGTGACCCTACTCTCAGTGGACAGGTGGAAGCCAAAGGAAGCAGAATTAAAGTTTTCCACAAATATTGAATTAAAAGGAAGCAAACTTTTCAGATTTTTTCAACTTTAATTGAGACCGCCAGACAGTTTCTGAAATGTTTCTTACTTCCTAAAGAATCAGCAGCCAGCGCTGTGTGCGGGTGCCAGCTTGTCTTTTTCGCTTGTCTCCCGGCATGGTCTCCCAATATGGTCTCGGGAAGTCTATACCAAAAAGGCTAGCTTCAGCTGGTATGGGCCAAGGCCACGCAACGTCCAGCTTTTGGCAATTTTTCTTTTATATGATTTATATATGCCTTTTTGCAGGCAAACCATTCAGGGGTCACCAACTCATCTAATCCTTAACCCCTCCAACCGGCTCAGCCTGTTCCCTTTGATGTAGCCTATTCACAGCAGGCAAAACGTACCCAACTGTTTTGTACTCTAGAAATAGAACGAACAAAACAAGTTATAACGGTATCATTTACATCTCTTTTCACTTGCTTGTCAGCCGCAGAACTCTCGCAACAGGCCAATGGCTCATCTCAGCGAACCAGGATTCCGACAAAGTGTCTGTGTTCCGTAGCATGGCTTCATCTGCATGTGTTCTGCAACGCTGCCAAGGTTGCCTCCATCCCCAAACTGTTAATATTCGAATTGGAGAAGCATAGATTCAACCCACAGGTCTTGCTGCATGAGCAAGCTCTTTTGTCGTGATTGAAAAATGCGTAGGCTCAGGACTCTGCATTTTTTTTGAATTGATTTATGACACCATGGACATTGAAAGCATGGTACCAAGGCTTTAACATCGCCACTGGCATGATGGAGTGGACCGGAAATGAGTGACCCAAAATGGGCTGATGAAATGGCTGTGAGAATGTGCAGATTCCTGAGCACAGTTTCAAGCGAATCCCGGCCAAATTGGTTTCGAGCAGGTTTGGGTCCAGAAGGACAATGCAAACACCAAACATGTTCAGAGATTCTGCCAACGATGGGCTACAACACGGCTAGGGCTAGACCTGCATGGTTTCTAATCTTTCCAGGTCTTTTAATTTAGTAGAAGTATCTCCCAAGCGTCTTTCTTTGTTTGGGAATGTGGGCAGCAGTGGGAACATGAGGTATTCACACGTTGAACATCTGCAAAGTATGACCCAAGTGCATGTTAACACTAGCGCTGGCAAGGCTTCAAAGGGCTGCAGTGTGTACATTCCAGTCAAGAGGAGTGGCTACGCGACCCTCATTGATCTGGCATGGACGGATATAGCTTGAGCGCAGACTCTCTGGCGGCTTCATCAGGGTCCCTGATCCCAAGTTCCATTCACAAACTCAGTTCCAGCCCCCAGCAATATATATATATATTTCAATGAAATTTAACACAGTTTGTGTAGATTGATCAAAGGCCCTTGCAAGGAGCTATGATTGCGATGACCGTTCATATCATATCATGTTTCGAACCCTTTCATTTTTTCTCAGCTCGTGACAGTAACGATTTTATTTTGCAAGAGTTTAGCACACATTATATAGATATCATGAATCATCATTATCACACGCAATTCAGGGATATTTTGCAAAAGTTCCGCGAAGGTTACGCGAAGGAGCGGGCAAAAGTGAAACCGCATTTTGAAGAAGGAGACCCAGTAGACCTTCTAAAGATAAGCAACAATCTATCGTGAGAAGGGATTCTGCGATGCTAGGTGCCTGTTTACAAGGCTATCATGAAGTAAATCTATGATCATATGGCAGCTAGTGCATTCGTCTTCATGAGAGGCATTGTTGCTTCGCATTGATCCTGCAAAAGATAAACTTGGAGTTCCCGAAAGGTTTGCAAAGGCAGCATTTTATTTCGCGAGGAATGGCCGTCTCCAGATGATAGGATTTAGATCATTAATATATTTAATATATATAGGTCCAAATAGTCCAAATAGCTCCGGGACTGCGTTGATGTTTAGATCTGTCTAGACGGTTCTCCCAACGCAGAGAAGACTTCATGTCACCAATGCCTGAAGGTACCATGTGCCATCTCCCAACTTTGTGTGCTGCATGAGGCAAGTCTGTCACACTTAAGACGGTACCTGATTGGTAAAGAAGTTGAGTTGCTGGTGAAATTCTGAGTTAACCAGAAGTGAACTAAGCTGCAATGAGATTGTTGTATCTGTTGTAGAGCATTCGGAGGTGCCGTGTGTTTATGTGCGAACTTGGCAGTCAAATGGATTCTCCAGGCCGCAAATGACGATTCCGACTCGTCGTCAGCCAAACCATGCAAGGGAAGGCAACACCCTGAGATCGGAATTTCAAATGACGGTGTTGCACTACAGACTTATCAAAAAAAACAGCCAAGATGCAATCACACAGGGTTTGACCCCAGATCGAACAAATAGTAGATTAGTACATGATATAGCACATCTCTTTCTAGGTCTAATTGCAAGTCCCCCCCATTTGCATTGACTAGATCACCCAGAAAATAACATAAATAACACGAAACAACTTGAATATGCCAATCATGAAAGAAACCCCACGTGTGGAACAGCACCAACGATTACAAACGACCATGGCTTAGAGCTTAGAAGAGGAGACACACTGTGACTAGCTTACAATTTTACCATTTTGTATTATTTTGATTTATTTTGTCCAGTTTAGATCAGTCGCAAAGTCACAGATTTGACATGACTTGACCACCTTTCCTTAGATGCTATGCCAACGATGATCTCCAAGCTGTGAGGCGAGCTGTTCTTGACATGTGTAGGTGCAGCAGTCTGTCCGTTTAGAATGCTTGAGAAATAGAAACCATCCATATCTACCTGAATCTACCTGAATCTACCTATTTTTGGTCAGAATCTGAAGGGTTCGTCGAATTTTGAAAGCCGGTCCACATGCCCACATGTTGTTGCGTTCAAGGTGGATGACAAACTCGCAACCTGTAGCGAGGCAAAGACTGCATTCAGTCTCTTGGATTGGACACGTTGCGAAGGCTCTCTTAGGGAAGCTCTTCGCTGCTCAGGTTGGAGTGCATACCTGCCCCTTTGCAAATTGTGAGCCATGCTTTCAAAGCATCGTGCTCTTGTACCTCCAAATCGAGGCTCCTAAACCGCATTGCTGCCCAGACACTGTGTATTTGTCGAAATTTGCATATTTAGCTCAAGTCCTCTTGCTGGGCAAGATGCGATTTTATTGTTCAAGCAACTTGGTTTGGAAACCACGGTTGATTATATATATATCCGTTTTGAAAGTGCTGTGTCTGTAGTCTCGAAAAGTTTGACCAGAGATTGAACCACTGTCCTCTTCTGATAAGACACTCCTAGTCCACCTCCTGTGGGATTGAGGTTGTGGGGCGTTGCTTGCATTTCGCTATAGGAGGCCAGGGCTCCGTAGCGTTCCGTAGTGCGAACCGCTGAAGATTGCGTTTTTTGTTTGCAAGTAAGGGCGCCTGATGGCTCTCAATGTGATGTCTTGCAAAACTCCAATTACGGTTCAGATAGAACCATTATGGAAATTATGGTGCTTGTTTGGTTTGTTTGATTTCCCAAATGGTAGTCCTAGTTGTGCTTTTGAGCCTCTGCAGCCGAGAACTTCACTGCTTGACGCGCGTATCCCTGTCCGCCTGTGCCTTGTACAGTGCTTGAAAAGCATTGCACGACTGTCGTTCCGCCGAGTAACTTGAGAGCCTGCCATTCCTTTGAGATTCAAGTGGCGTGGCCTATGTTCAGCAAGAACTAAAAATAACAACAGAATTGATGGAAACAAACAGTTCTTTTTGCGATTTTGGCAAGTTGCTTGGACATCCCTTTTTGAAGTCGATCTTACCGCAGCAAACACATTTGCAGATCAGGACTTTGCGAGCAGCATTCACAGAGATCAAGTCTTGTTTAGGACCCTGTAGAATTGCTTCAAACATATTCAAAATAAAATCTATCAAATTGAATGTTTGGTCAGCTCTGTTCGGCTTCTTAGTCCTGGCGAGCATGCTTTTGTGAAGTGTTTCTGCAGGTCTGCCCGCTATGTCAGTCGCCATTGCTTTCTTGCGAATTGACTTTTTGTTTGCCCTCGGCTGACAGTGAGCCGTGGAGCGATTCCTAGAGCTGTCGAGAGCGCCTCTCGTCGCGCTTTCTCTGCCCATAGGCTCGGACCGAGCTCACTTGAGCCCAGTCCAGCACATGGAGCAGCACATCGAGCTCACTGCTAGGCTTTGTGTCACAAGGCACAAGCTTTGAGGGTGCCTGCATATAGCCTTTAACAGCTGCTTGCCATCGGGCTGCGCAGCTTAAAAAAGTGTTGAGCCTTCGAACGAAAACGAACCAACGCTGATTTGCGGCTTCGGACTGATTCGAGATTAGGGAGATGGACCGAGATGGATAACGCATGATAACGATCTAAACTTGACGCTGCAGTTTTTGTGGTTGCGACGCTCAACACTAGGGCGCGCAGTCTCGTAGGCTTGGAGCGAAGCTGCATATTGCAAGGTTGCAGCTTGCAGCTTCGATGGGCCCCTGTTGCATCGTTCGTTGCATACACAAAGACACATGCCGACGAGACAGTTTCAGAATCCAAAGAAAAGCGTGCTGTTTGGGGCATGGTCGCAGTTGTCGCTGTTGCTGTCGTGGCTGTCGGCCTGCATCTTCTGATATAAAAAGGGCGTGAAATATGAAAGAGTAATATGAATAGTCAAGAGGTAAGATTTTTTAAAGACAAAGACCCTCCCGCAGTGCTGCAATGTCATCAGAACGCAATGCTCGATTGCAGTGACTTGTGCTTTCCTTTCTATTTTTGGCTTCAGCAGTAATCCCCTCTTGCGGGGTTTCTTGCGCTCAGACCTCACGGAAATATTCCAGAATGTCAGAGGTCTAGCCGGAAGGTCAACTCTTCATATGGCAAAGTCATGATCTTTGCCAGAACCTAAACCTGATGAGGCGAGTGTTTGGCCAGTGGAAGACAGGCTGCAAGCATTTTAGGTTGCCTTAATGGTCCATTGTACACTACCCAGTCACTACTCTTTGCATACCACAAGAGTCTGAGTCAGCAATGGCAAATCCTGTGAAAGCAAGGCGTGAACGTCACGAATGACAGGAGTGATCAGAGACTGCTTGCTCTGTTTCAATTTGTCTGGAGTCCAGAGAGTGTATAGTTGTATAGAGAATCTGTAGAGAGTCTGAGAGCAGCATCAAGTCTTTGAGAGACTTTAAGAAACTTTGGGTAGGCCCATGGCTGGAGACTTTTCATTTTGGCAACAGCAGCCGCAGCATGCCCAGCTGCTTGGCAATTTCAGATGCGAAGTGAAATAGCAGAGCCGTATTCTCTTGAACTCTTTGCCAGCAATTGCTTACACTGTGTCATATCTTGGATTGTGCTACTGTAATCATGAATTTGTTGTGACTACAAAAGACTGCTTGAAAAGAAGAAAATGGCAAGAGGGGCAAGTCTTCGATTCAAGCTGGAATTGCTTGCTACCAGTCGTGTAATGTATAATGGGTTCGTTGTACACAGCGAGCAAAAAAATTCTTGATAGTAAAAGTGAAGACTAGATCAGTTTGCAAGAGGACATACAGAACCATTTATTACATCTGAGTCTACTTGAAGGTCATCTTCTGTAAGATTGTCTTGTCAGTGCCTGTCTTCCACAGAAAACAAACGCCAACTACAAAGGGTCCAACAGATGCTGTATTGGGTTTCAGAAAACATACCTGAGTCACCAAGTTGAGACCAAGTTAAGTAGATGATGTTGCGAAAGTTGCGAAATAGGAACTGGGATGAACTGGGAATGTCAAGATGTACAGTGTCCGCAGTGTCCATGGTTCACTTCGCATAGAATCAAGGCGGTGGTCCCAGAATCTTGCTGCCTAAGTCCGTCGCACGTGCTGTTTTGCCTTCCAGCTTGTCTCCGGCTTGTCTCCAAGCATGGTAACTTGATGTAACTTGAATCTTTGGGAGGGTGCCCCAAACTGCACAACCTTTGGACAAGACACAGTCAAACACTGTCCTTGGGTCCATGCTGGTCTTTGTAACTTTCTCAGAAAGTCTTTCTGTATTCTCCGTGTGGGAAGGTTCTCAAAACCCCTTCTGCAAATACTGAATCAGAGTATAGTCTGGCAAGCTATTGGGTTTATGTTTCCAAACCCACTCAGGTTCGAGAGTGAACTTGCACTTTTCCACCCAGTATACGCGAAATTTTGATCTGACTGATGAAATGCCTTCTCATCCAATGACAGAAGCCAGACAGCAAGTTCTGTCAGGGAAAATGTCACCACTCCGTTCTGTTGTTCCCTATGTGGGCTTCTTTTGAGTAGTTTCTGTCACTCAAGACAAACCAATAATACTACCAGATGAGCAAGGAAAGAAGTCAACACAGAATGCAATGGAAGAGGACATGGAATGGAAAGAAAAAGTGAAGTTGGAACGAAAAACAAAGAATTTCGTAAACATTCCAAAGTAGAGAATATGGACACTCTAGATAAGGGAGAAGAACAAAAAGAGAGAGAGAGAGAGAGAAGTGACACAGAACACGGATAAGCAGTAAAACTACTACCAATCCGGGCGCCGGCCACGGAGCCCGTGTCCTTGCCGGAGGCCTTCGGTGGTAACCGAAGGCTATAGGGGCTGCCGGCCCTGCCGCTGACCCCCCCCCCCGTTCACCCCTGAACCACTCCCGAACCACTGAAGCCCATGTAATTTACAGTGTATTTTGCTTGCGGTGTTAATTAAAGGACCGGATAACCCCACATGTTACCAACTTCTTTAGACTTAGACTGACCATAGAAGAGCAAGAAGGGAAGAGGAAGTATAAGAGTGATGGAGCGGTGATGGTGGGTGAGTTTGTGTGTATGTATGTATGTTCATGTACAGTGAGTGAGTGAGAGTGTGAGTGAGTGATGTGAGTGTGGTGTGTGTGTGAGTGAGGGATGTGAGAGTGAGTGAAGTGAGTGAAGTGAAGTGAAGTGAAGTGAAGTGAAGTGAAGTGAAGTGAAGTGAAGTGAAGTGAAGTGAGTGAGTGAAGTGAAGTGAGTGAGTGAGTGAGTGAGTGCGGTAGGTGAGGTAGGTGAGGTAGGTGGTGAGGTAGGTGAGGTAGGTGGGTAGGTGAGGTCGGTGAGGTAGGTGAGGTAGGTGAGGTAGGTGAGGTAGGTGAGGTAGGTGAGGTAGGTGAGGTAGGTGAGGTAGGTGAGGTAGGTGAGGTAGGTGAGTGAGTGAGTGAGTGAGTGATGAATGTGAGTGAGTGTGAGTGAGTGTGAGTGAGTGTGAGTGAGTGTGAGTGAGTGTGAGTGAGTGTGAGTGAGTGTGAGTGAGTGTGAAGCCTCCCATTAACGTCCCCACCACCGGCCAACGTGGTGTCGGCTCGACCGAAGCCGAGCCGTTTGGTAAGGACGAAGGCATCGACCTCAGTGCTGAAGCAGGTGGGAACATATTTGCATGTGTCCTGCAAGCGGCTAAGCCAGCTGCGAGAGCATCTCTGGTCAGTACCTGCAGACCGAGAAGGAAACAGGAATGAAGATGAACCTGTTCTTTTCCTTCCGATTCCATTGCAAACACTGTTTCATCTTGCTGCACCTGCACGTGCTCAGCTGTGGCGTCCGCCGGCCCTTCTTGTCTCATGATGCCAGGGCCATCTTCACCAACAGGAACCGTCACCACACAATCCAGAACCACCGATGGAACTGCCTCTTCTGCATCTTGCAGCCATTCCGTGAGCAGCTCTCGATTGATTTCAGCCACGCCAGCAGCATAGACGCCATTAGTTTTCTGAAGCGCTTCAGCTTGCTCAAGAAACAAAGCCTTCTTCAACCGCAACTCCACAATCTTGCTGATGGCTGCTCGGCCAGCTTCTTGGCCTTCGTGCGGCAAATCTGTGCAGAAGGTGATGGCCATAGCGTCGTTGAGCTGCCGAGGAGGCAAAGATTCCACTGCATGCCTGGCATCTCCATTGTGAAACAAGACAGATGACCCGACGTAACCACTCTGATGAAAAGCAGCATCCCACTGATTGCCATTGCTGGCACGGTTCTGGTGTGCTCCGCCAGCTCGGAGGACAACTTTGGTCGCCACAGTTCTGGCTAGGGCAAGGCACATCTCGTGGGTCATGTTAGCCTGCCAAAGAAGTGGATCAGGCCGCCCAAGCCAAAGATCGTTGGCCAGCGAAAACTTGCACAGCTTGGGTTGCTTTGGGGAAAATGCATAATAACAATCTCGACAAACAGATGCAGGAGAGTTGCCGCAAGTCATGTCATCGTCCACCCGACGCTTGTGTAGTAGCACTTGCACTTTCTGTCCGAAGCTGTCGGATACTGACACGCTGCTGGCCAATAATTCTGCTTCTGGTATCAAAGGCCATCGTTGCTTGTAGCGCTCAACTGATAAGAACTTCCAGAGAGCGTCAGGATTCAGCATAAAACATTGCTGTCCTGCGAGGAAGACTTCCAAGAGGTCTTCTTTCCAAAAGGATCGGGCACAAAAGCAACAGCCCAGGCG